CGTTAGGGTAGAATCCGCGTTTGGCTGTTTTTTATGGGTTTCACCTTGTAATAATTTGTAATAATTTAAAAATGGGTTCGCTTAAGAAATATATAAATACCAGACTTTTACTAATCTATGATGAATAAGATACGCTCTAACGTCGAAAGTACTGCCGTAGAATATTTCGCCTGCGCAACTTCTTTGATTAGTTGCAAGTATTCACATTATTTTTTTTAATTTAGGAGATCGGGTGATGGTGGCATTGAAATATGTAAAATTGCCACGACTCGACTTATTATTCAATGCAAAATTTTGGTCAGAACCGATATAGGTGTTGCTATATTAAATCAGATGTCGGAGTTAAAAACTATGATAAAATTCAATTAATACGTGTAATATCAAGTATATTCACAGGTCTCCCGCTTGTAGATGAGTTGCTTGGAGTGCTCACTCGAACCCAGCAACCAAAGGACTATCGGTATTATAGTGGACCCCTCTATGAGTAGTTTTACACCCGGTGCAATAGATGCGGCACTAGAGATAGCAGCTAATTTGCATTTATGAAATATCATAATTCCGATTGAGGCATTTTGTTGCGATATTCGTATAAACAATCTTTTGAATAGATTCGTATCTTATATAAAACAATGTCGAACATCCAGTCCAAATTTGATTTATTAAAACAAGAGAATGCTAGACTTATGGCTAGGATCGCAGAATTGGAACAGATCGCAAAAGAAAAGGATGAGCTCGAGATCGAATTAGAAAGTTCTAGAATTTTGCATCGTATATCTAATACCACCACTTATACACCTTTGAGTTTTGACCAATTTTCATAATCGAAATTGAAGAAGCCATGATTCCTTATTTATTTTATAAAAAAATTGCTAAACGAAAAACAAATAAAATTTTATTGTATATATAATAAAGAATAGAATTACATCACATCGTCTGCGGTGGTCATCGCAATACCAACGTGTAACATAAATAAATAAAATGCGCGATAACGCGTATAAGTTAGGGGCTTTATTTATTTGTGCCGGTAACACAGGCATTTACTAATTTCCCACCCAAGTTTCTATTGGCTGGGATTATTCGTATTAGTTTACATGTCATCTTTTAATTAAAATGTGACATCTAAGTTAAGGTTTGGATTTACTAAAATTTTGCAAGAAATTTTTTTTATTAGTGTCCAAAAGGTAATTTTTTAAGCAGAATATTGAAATAAATATAATTTGTCTTGATCTTCACGTTACACCTAATCTTGCATACTGATTGGCCAGAATCAGAAACTTGAAAAAATTAGTAAATATATAAAACAACAGGGTAGACAAACCCACATTTGATGATAATTGTTACAGCTGATGCTGAAGTTTGGCTGATGTTGAAGCTAAAAAATTTGGTTGGTTAAATTTTGCAGATCATCCTAACCCTAACCAATCAGATTTTTTAGCTTCAACATCAGCCAAACTTTAGCATCAGCTGTCACAATAATTAATAGTAGTTTAGTTCAATTATCTTTGTAATATAGTGAAATTTTATTAGTATATTTTATTTTTTATTAGTCAAAATTATTATATAGTATATTTTTATATTTTTATTGGTAGATTTTTATTTAATTATTTAAATTATATATTCATTTAATATAAACAGAACCTGAACTAAAATATACTAACACCTCAGGATAGCCCAGAAAGATGTAACAACAACATTAATTATAAATAAAATCAAATAAATCCAAATTGGCAAAAGTGTTTCTACTATATTAAATATGCTTATATTATAATAAAAGATATTTATACTATAGTAAAAGATGTCTATCCTATAAAAAAAGTGTTTATTTCTTAGTAAAAAGTGTCTAATCTATTATTTTAATCATTTTAAGATATCTATTTACTATCTGAAAATGTCTATCTAATATCAAAAATATCTATTCTATAGAAAAAATAATTTTTCATTAATAAAAAATATTTTTTCTTAATAAATTACTATGTTTCTATAATAATTTAATATTCTGAAAAAAATATTTAAACTACTTCATTTTTTCTAAGGCATAGAAACAGTTGGTTTATATATTTTAGTTATTATAATACTTTATTTTTGATATACTGCTTATAAATTTTGTTTTGAATTTTGAGTTATTCTTATTTTCTTTTTTAAATAGTATTATATTCTCTATCTGTTTTTCTGTTATAATTGTAATATTTTCTTAGAATTATTTTATTTTTTTTGAGTTATAATATTTGTTTTATTTGTATTATTCTTCTGAGTATTATCTGAGTTAATAAAATCTATTTTTAGTCTATAAACTATTAGTTATAACCTTTTTTTATAAGTGTTATATTGGCAATAAGTCAATAATATTTTATTTTCTCTATAAACTATTGTTTTCTATAAAATTATATAAATATACTTTTTAACTACTTAAACACTTAGTCAAATAAAGTAACTTGTTAATCAAGGGTTTAACAATATTATATTATACCTTAAAGTACTTTTATTTTTATAATTTTTTAAATATTAATTAAAGTTTTGAATAATCTATAATCACAATATTGATTATTTTATTTTAAAAATAAATTTTATAAGAAATAAAAAGTAGATTAATTCAAAATTCTAGCAAATAGTATATTATAAAGATATATAAAGATATTTTAGTAATATTGTAATATAGTATAATATTATCAATCTCTTAGATAACAAATTACTTTACTTGACTAGAAATTCAAGTAGTCAAAAAATATGTTTATATAATTTTATAAAAGAAAATAGATTATAAATAAGATAAAATATTGTTAGCTTCCCAAATAGCAAGTCAAGAGTTTAAATTCTACTGGCAACAAAAATTTAAAAAATTTTGCTTGTATTATAGCTAATTGTATTTGGTTAATCAGTTGGAATAGAATATTTATAACTATAGTCACACTAGCAATACTGTGAGGTCTGGAGTATTTATATAATATATAAATTATATGAAGATATACAAGTAGTTATTTAGTTGATACAAATCTATGATAAGTTTTTGAACTATATAAAGTTAAAGAACTGCAAATACAGAAGTCTGCTTAACAAGTTATGAGTAAAGAGTAGTACAAATCTTCAATAAAGTTATTGTAAAAATTAGATCTAGGAAACAAAACTTATATGAACTAAACTGGACAAGATATAGAGTATTAGAGTACACCTATAACAACTAGACTACTGCAAATAGAAAAGAACTAGAAATCTAGTTGAGAAGCTACAATACATCTGCAAAGTAATAAGACAAAAGACCTACTATATTTGTAGTATCTGCCTAGACGCAGAGGAAAAGTGCATAGTTATTAAGCTATCTAGCTTAGAAGTTTAAAAACTAAAGTTGGGGTCTCTGCTATCAGATGAATAGAAATCACTAATACCAACTAGATTACTATTGAATTAAAAGAAAATAAGTGATATATATCAGACTATTTAGATTAGAAGTCTGTATAAAAGAGCTAGATTATTAAAGTATTGAGAATATATTGTGAAATAAGTTTTAAAGTTTAAGTGAACTCTATAAAGACAGAAGTAGATTTGAATAGCAAAGTTTAGCCAAACTAAAGTTAAATTGTAAATAAAAAGCAGAAAAAAGTTTAAGCTAAAAGAAAAAACCATAGGCAAAAACTTTGACCCAGTATTACATACTTCTAGAATAGGTAAAACTAAGCTACAAGTAGTGGGCCATGGTCTGTATAGACCAAATTAAAGTACAGACTAGATGTGATATAAAGTGAAAATATTGCAGACTTAGCTAGATTTATCTCAAAGATAAAGTAGTTCTAAGTCAGTATGTAAAGTGTATACTAGAAAGACTAGTTTTTAGAACTAAAGAAATAGTACTGATTGATATAAACCTTGAAGTACATAGATGCTAAGAGTTTAAATAGGTAACTCCCTAGTTAGATTGCAAGTATAGCAAATTGTATAGAACCTAGAAATAGGCAGATTACTTAAATAGATACTTAAAAGGTGCAGATATGACTAAATATACTCTCTAAATATATATAATAACTATTCTAATACAATAAAAACACAATGTGATCAAGAGATTACCTTAATACTAAAAAAAATTATTAGCTTATTTGTTATAGTAATATTTACAAAAAAAGATATAATATAATCTCAATATAATAAAGCTTTAAAATTATTAGAGTTTTCACAATATAACCAAATTTATATATACTTTTATAAAGTATTCAATTTGCAATAATGTTTCTCAATATAGCAAATATATATATAATTTATAAAAAATTCAGTTTATATAATATGTTTTAATATAAGAATTTATATTTAAATTAATAAATATTTGTATATAAATAATATAAGTATCGATCTATTTATTATTTCAAATAGTTTCTATATATGTAGTTATATAATAGTAAAATAAAAAAAAATTTATTCAATACCCTAATATTTATTATTTTCTAAATAAAAACTTATTTACTAGTATATGTATTTTGTATATTAGTCAAAATTACTTATTAATATGAACCAATTATATATTAGAATACTGTATTTAAAATATTTGAAACATAACAAATAAAATATAAATAAACCATACTATTTAAAAGTTTTTAAATTTAATTATTTCATTTTTATTCATTAATATTTTTAATTCAAAATTAGATGATAATAAAGGTAGTAAATATTATATCTAAATAAAATATCAATAAAATATTAATAAAATACTATTAGTATAATAACAATAAATAGAATTCATAAAAAAACTTAGAATAGTGATTAAAAAATTACTATTCTAAATTTTCACTTATCACCACTCATATATTAACTCACCTTAGATACAATACTTCATTCTATAATATGTTTTAGTAAAAAATAAATATTGTAAATAATTCTTTGTATAATAAGTTTCTGATTTACTTTTTTAAAGCAGTATCATTTATTACCTAATTATTTTTTATCAGAAGCTTATTCCCTTCCTCTCTTAATATAAAAAAATCAGGTTCTTATATATAATTTTAACTTTTTTTATCTCTCTCCCTCCTAAAAAATCACCTGATTTTGTTACATCCCTTATACTATAATATTGAAATTAAATATTAATATATATATCAGCTAATCAAAAAAATTTAAAATAAAATTTTTAAATCTGGTTAAACATATTTTCAAAAGGATGAATAGATAAAATCTTAGCTATTGAGAACTCAAATCTATACTGATAATATATAAAAGTATCTTTAGAGTTCAAAGTATTTAATAAGGAAACAATATTAGAGAACAAAATTTTTTGTAAATACAATATAATTAGTTTCATTTATAAATAAATTCAGACCTAAAATAAAACTTTTATTTAATTAATTAGAATAAGATTTGTTATAAATTAGCTTTTAAATTATTTAAAAAAATAATTAGATAAAATGCTTAAAATAATAATTTAAGTTTTATAATAATACATAAATTAATTGGTCTAACAGTATTAATCTACTATAATAACACCTCTTGAATAAAATAAAACTATAAATAAAAATGTCTTAACTTTTAATTTTCTAAAAAGGTAATAAATTTTGTTGAAACTTTGTTTAGATTTGGCTAGCCTTATAAATAAAATTTTAATTAACGAATTAAATTATTTTCTTTTTTTTTTCATAAAACTCAAGTTAAAAAGAAAATCTTGATATGTAATCAGATAATTTTGTTTATAAAACTCCTTCTGTATATTAACAAAAGTTTGTCTTGCAAAATTTTGGTTTAATTATAATTTTCTAGATCCTCTAGACCTAACTTACTTGCAATATTCCTAGTTAAAATGCTTTTAATTCATTAATACACTTTTAGTTAAATATTTATCTAAAAATAT